CCCTACCGGCACATGTGGTGACCCCAGCACTGCGGCACCGGTGACCCCCAACCGCACACCCCAGGCAGCCCCCCCGACCTGCGGGGCCGGGGAAACAGCCCCGGGAGCCCCACGGGCAGCAGTGGGGGGGAACTGCAGCATCGGAGCCGTGCATGAGCACCGAGAGGACGCCGTCCCTGCGGCCGGGTTGTGCCGTGCTCATCCCCGGCTGTGCCATCCCTGCAGATCCCCGTGCTGCGGGGTGGCAGAGTGATGCCAGGCTGTGCCCAGCCGCCTCCCAGCACCTCCAGCGATGCAAACGCTGTCACTGCCCCAGAAATAAAGACACAAAAAAGGTGGCGTTTTGGATGACACCCAGCGCTTTGTTACAGGGACATCGCCTGCGGCAGCGAGGGGCGTGGGGGGCACGCGGCAGCCAGCCCGGGGAGCGAGGAGGGGGTCTGGAGCCTTGGGATCAGCACAGATGGGGGCAGCGGGAGGGAGGGGACACCACAGGGTCGGTGAAGTCACAGGGTTCCGTTTCCAATGATGTCAGCGTTGCCGGGCGCTACGTCAACAGACCGGCCTCTCCCAGAGTGCGGGCAGCAGGCTTGCCTCTCCCGGCGTGGGCAGCGGGCTTGGCCGCTCCGGGAGCGCGGGCGGCAGAGTTTGCCTCTCCCGGGTTGCAGGCAGCGGGGTTGGCCCCTCCTGGAGCGCCAGCAGCGGACGGAGGCAGAATGCGCAAGAAGCGGGCGCTGTCACCCTCTCCGCAGAGGAGCGGGAAGGCAAGGGGGCGCGGGCAGGGCCGGGGCGTGGGCTTCGGGCAGCAGCGGAGAGGTTCGGGTGTCTGCCTGCACGTGGCGGCAGCCCCCGGTCGGCGGCTGCGGGGTCGGCACACGGGGCCACGCTCCAGTGGCCGGTTGAAGAGGCAGTGCTGTGCCCCAGTGTTCCCAGTGTCTGCCCAGGGCCTGCCCAATGGGTCCCAGTGTGTCCCTAGGACCTGCCCACTGGGTCCTAGTGGGTCCCTGTGGCCTGCCCAGTATGCCCCAGTGTGTCCCCATGGCCTGCCCAGTGTGTCCCCAGGACCTGCCCAGTGGTCCCAGTGTGTCCCAGGCACCTGCCCAATATGGTCCCAGGGGCTGCCCAGTATGCGCCAGTGTGACATGAGGACCAGCCCAGTGGGTCCCCAGGGCCTGTCCAGTAGGTCCCAGTGTATCCCAGTCTGTCCCCGGTTCGTGCCCAGCGCCTCCCAGTACATCACAGCACCAACGGCAACTGGGTTAGCGTTGGCGCCCGCCGCACAGCGCCCTCCCCCTCGCTCTGCTATTGGTCAATATCGCTGTCCGTCCCGCAGCTGTCCCTCCTGAGTGGCTGGTTTGAATGAGCGGATCGCCTTCTGACTGGCGAGAGGGCGGGAGGGGCGCGACGCTTGTCCCCGCCCTCCCGCTGCGATTGGCGGCCCG